TTTATTTCTATTTCTTCACTTATCAATTTTCAACCTTAATTTTGAGTAATGAAAATGGGAGAGAAAGGCATATAAATAAAAATGTGACATAATATCTAAGCTAATATATACTACAATAGAGTTCTGCATAGGTTTTCTTTGTGTTTATAAAGAACAGGTAAAACATTAGATCTTCTAAATTGGTTTTAAGTCTGTATTGGGTAAGCTTCCATTAGCAGTAAACAAGATAGTGTTCATTCATCTTTTTGTATCCTTGTCAACACTGGCAGAATTCAGAAATCAAATTTATGCTATGTTCATAACATAAAGTGATATCTCATTGGTTTTTTAATATGCATTTTTCTGACAACTAATGATTTTTAGCATTTTAAAATATACTTGACTAGAGGCCTGGTGCATGAAAATTCTTGCACTTGGAGCAGGGAGGGGTGCCTCAGCCCGGCCTGTGCCCTCTCACAGTTCCGGAATCCTCAGGCGATATCCGAATGATGGCTTAGGCCAGTGATGGCAAACCTATGACACGCGTGTCAGAGGTGACACGCGAACTCATTTTTTTGGTTGATTTTTCTTTGTTAAATGGCATTTAAATATATAAAATAAATATCAAAAATATAAGTCTTTGTTTTACTATGGTTGCAAATATCAAAAAATTTCTATATGTGACATGGCACCAGAGTTAAGTTAGGGTTTTTCAAAATGCTGACACGCTGAACTCAAAAGGTTCTCCATCACTGGCTTAGGCCCACTCCTGGAGCAGGCCTAAGCTACAGTCTGGCCTCCCTCTGCGGGAGGCAACTGGGAAGGCAGATCAGGGGACAGTGCTGGCCGGCAAGTGGCTGGTCCTGCCCCTCTCCATTGCCCCTCTGCCACAGCTGGTCGCCACCGCCCCCCCCCATCTCTGCCCCCTCCCTCTGCCTGCTGGCACACGCCTTGGCTGGCCTGCCGCTGCCTGTTTGCCAACCCCGCCCTCTGCTGACCAGTTGTTCCACCATTTGCTCGATTTGTAAATTACACTTTTATTATATAGGATAGCTCTTCTGGCTTCTCCTGAGAAACTGTCTTTTCAGGTTTTTTGCTCACTTTTCTATTAGCTTCCTCTTAGTATATATTCCAATATTAACTGCTCATTGGTTTTAGGGATTTCCTCAGTTTGTCTATGAAATTTATCTATGCCTATTCTTCACTGAAAAATTCTTATTTTATGAAGCCACATTAATCAATTTTATGCTTTATTATTTATACTTTTAAAGTCTTATTTCAGAATCATTTTTTTACTTTTAAGTCTCAAAAATAGTCACCTAATTTTTTTATAAATTAGCTTTGAAAATATAACTCTCATGTTGTCCCAAAGCTCACTTAGACTCTCCTCCTGCTTTTTAATTTTTTTTTCCATTTGCTGCTCTGAATGGGGGTTTTTTGCTACCTAGTCTTCTAATTTGATCCTCAGCTTCTTCTAGTCTTCTATTGAATCCTTCTAGAGTCTTATTTATTTCAGCTATGTCATTCATCATTTCCAATGGATTCTTATTTATTGTTTCTTTATTTTTATTCTTTTCATGTTGTTGTACTTCTCATTAAGTCCCTTATAAATCTCATTAAGTTGCTTGTAGTTCTCACTGAGTTGTCTGAGCACCCTCATTACCATTACTTTGAATTCTTTGCCTGACAAATTGCTTGCCTCTGTTTCATTTAGTTCATTTTTTGGTGATTCCTCCCTTTCCTTGGGGGTTGTTTCCCTGTCTCCCCATATTTGTTGTCCCTTTATATTTGTTTTTATGTATCAGATCAAACTGCTATGCCTCCCAGACTTTATAGGGTAGTCTTATGTAATAGGTGCTTTGTGGGACCCAGTGGTGTAGTCTCTTAGATCTCCTGAGCTGAGTGCTCTAGGAAATCCCCTTGCTTGGATTCTCCTGTTGTAGTTCGGTCTTGAATGTCATTGTCCCATTCATGGATGGAATCTCCTCTTAGGCTGACTGACCATGTGGCTCCCCGCTGAGCACGTAACAGGAACTATTGTGGAGATGCTGACAGACAGAACAAAATACAACACCAGTAAACACAGAACAAAAGAAACAAGACAAAAACATACACAGACCCTTACAGCAACACAAAAGCAACCGCCAGAGAAGAAGGGAGAATTAGGAAAGAGAAAAGTGAGCAAGAATGTAGAAGACAAGAAAGAAAGAAAAATACAAGGAGAAAAACAACAAAACAGACAAAAAATCACAAACAAAAAAGGGGGGAGGAGAAAAAGGAATATGTGTGTGCAGAGCTGAAAAAAAAGGAAATAAGAATAAAGATTTAGGGGAATAAGGAAAGGAAAACTGTTTAAAATAAAGGAGGAAGAAAAAAATTGGAAAAGTATGAATAGAATGCAGATAGACCCAAAATAAAAAAAAAATAAAAAAAAGATGAGAAAGCAGTAGAAAAAGAAAAGAGAGAAGAAAAGATGAGTAGGAAAAGGGAAGAGAAAAATAGATATAGGAACAAAATTATAGAAACTAGAATAATAACAAATCAATAAAGCAGACAGATAAAGAAGATAAATTAAAAAGAGGGGAAATAAAGGAAAGAGAAAAGATAAAAAAAAAAGAAAGAGAAAACAGTGAAGGGGCATTCCACTTTAGAACTCTTTAATCTTATTGGAATTAAATTTGTATAAGAAGCTAGTTTTATTTTTTGTCATATTCCAAGACAATTGTTCTTTCTCCATACAATGAGTCAACGCCAACCTTTTCTTTTACTTTGTGATATTACCCTTACTATATATAACTCATTGATATGTGGATTTATCTCTGATATCTATATTCCTGCACCCACACTGGCAACCTAATAGTTGCAATAGTTGATTCCTTCTCTTTACACTTTATTTCTTAATTTTATTTTGATACTGGGGGTCCGGTGCATAAATTCGTGCACCAGTGGTGTCCCTTGGCCTGGCCTGTGGGATCGGTCAGAAACTGGCTCTCTGATATCCCCCGAGGGGTCCTGGATTGCGAGTGGGCACAGGCCAGGCTGAGGGACCCCACTGGAGCACAATCAGGGCCGGGGAGGGACGCGGGAGGTTGGCCTGCCAGGGAGGGATGCAGGAGGGCTCCAGGGCATGTCCGGCCCTTCTCACTCAGTCCTGATTGGCTGGACCTCAGCAGCAAGCTAACCTACTGGTTGAAGCGTCTGCCCCTGTTGGTCAGTGCACGTCATAGCAAGCAGTTGAGCAGCCTTAGCATATTATGCTTTGATTAGTTGAAAGGATGATCGGACGACCGGACATTTAGCATATTAGGCTTTTATTATATAGGATAAATGTACCTCTTATAGCATATGCTTTTAAAACTGGTTTTGTGATCACTTTTTAGACATATAACTTATAGAAAAATTAGGAAAATTATATCCATGAATATGGTAATAATTTAGAAAAAGTTACATTCATGAATATGGGGGGAAATAAGCCATATTGAGTTAGGAAATAATTTAAACTGCTACATTTTAATAAGATCTCTGTTTCTTTTGGTTTTATATAGCAGGAAAAATATAATTATGGACAATAATTAACACAAAGAAAGTCAATTGTGGAGCCCGCTCATGTGCAAAATTTTATTCGTTGAGTGTAGTAGTTAGGTATTTATGAATAAATTGCTGTGATTTCTGACAACATGCAAAAAAAATCTACCTAAGTCGTGTTTTTAAAATAAGATAAATATGACAACAGAGGCACTAGACAAAGAATGCTACAATGTAATGGAATTTGAATTACCGTAATTTCTGTGTTTGAATTACCTTAATACTATGATTAACTAAAATAATGGTTTTAAGTTATGCTTTGTTGAATATTTAAGGCTTTTTGGAATGCCCCCAAAGTATCTAGGGAAAAAATAGTAGTGAGACTGAATATTTGGATTTCAGATTCAACCAGAATGCTTGATTTTTATCTGTTTAAATAGTCTACCCTTCAGTAGGATTTTATTGGAAGATAGGAGTTTTAGCCAAAAATGTTTAGAAACCATTTAAATAAAATTAGTGAAATGTCTAAAAGTTAAACAAAGATGGCATATGATGGCCTTCATCTTTTTAACGCCTATGGCAGATATTGCTAATTGAACACAATATTCTTCCTGCTGCAGATTCAGATTTAGTTGCCATACTGCTTTCCATTTGGTCACTACCAATCAATCACTATGGGTGTGTGAGTCAAAACCCATTTACATCTATACACTACTAACTCTTATAATTTTATTGAACCTTCAGAACACTTACTTTAGTCTAAGAAAGGTATGAGTTGACTCATTCAGTTTAAAGAAGGAAGAGGCAGGGAAAGAGAGTGGTTAAATAGGACATGGATCTGGAAAATATAAATTCAAATAATTATTAAGGTGATAATTCTTACATTTTGATTATAAGGAGAACACGCTCACTACCAATTTGTTAATTGTGTAAAGGCCTACAAAGCTCATTAAGTATGGGTTTAAAAGACAATTGAAATCAATCATGTTTTCAGTTGATAAACTTGAGACATAAATAATTTCATTATATACATTTAATAATTTTAAATTAAATTTATTGATATGACATTGGTTAATAAGATCATACACTTTCATGTGTACCTTTCTGTGATACATGATCTGTATGTTGCATTGTATGCCCTCCACCCAAATTCAAATCATCTTCTGTCACCATACATTTAAAAATTTATCACCAAAAATTCAAACTTTCCAAATCAATGTGAGAGTAGGAAATAAAATCTGCATCTTTTGGAAATGCATCTCATGTTGTCTCCATGGTCCTTAGTTTGTACCAAACAATGGATTTAAAGTCCTCCAAATTAAAATGTACAAAAGCATTTCATACATGCTTGAAGATTCACAAGGTAATGAATGCATTAACAATTATCTTTATTTGAGGTTGACTATGTTTTATGTTCTATGAAGTCATTGAACTAATTATGACATAAATTTAATTTAATTTTCAAAGCAGTAACAATTATTTGTCTCTATTAACAGGGCTACTCTAATGTGATGCTGGGATTGGATTTACCTAGGATAGCATATCAAGGTTGACCTAGAAGTCTTGTAGAAGATCTGGACAAAATAGGTAAGTGGTTTTTTGGTAATAATTCTCTTTCGTTCATTGTGTTGAATTCTGGGTGTGTTTTTTTCTAATTTGTTTTATTCTTTAATTTTTTTGTTTAAGTATCTTTACCCAAAGGTTTAAAAAAGTTATCAGTGAATGATGTCAAGTACGGCAATAGGAATATTTACCGCTGTGTCTTTTCTTGGGCTTCCCATTTCATTCCTCAGGGTGCTCTCTCTTACTATTAAACTTAGTCTCAATGTTATTAAAAATCAACATAAATGGATGTAGAATGTGCATTTGGTTTTGAAATATTGAAATTATTAGGCAAGAAAAGCACTTGGAGTATTTTCTGTCACCATTATGCTGGCCTTTTATTCAGATGCTTTCAGTGTTATTTTATTAAGATTTGGTTGATATTGAGGCTTTGAGGGCATTTGGAAATGTCCAAAAAAGAAAAATGATTAGCAAACTTGTAATATTTTTGGGGGGGAGTTTGATTTTTCTTGTGAACTTTTTGAGACCCAGCAAGTCACTCTTTAAAAAGAATTTGTTGCCCTGTCTGGTGTGGCTCAGTTGATTGAGCATTGTCCTATGCACCTAGAGGTCCTGGTTTGATTCCTGGTTGTGGGCTTGATCCCCAGTAGGGGGTGTGCAGGAGGCAACTGATGGATGGTTCTTTCTCATTGATGTTTCTCTCTCCCTCTCCCTCCTTCTCTCTCTCTCTCTCAAAAAAAAAATTAATAAAAATGCATTTTTTATAAAAAAGGATTTTTATTTTTAAAAAATTAAATTTATTGGGTGAAAATGGTTAAGATTATATAGGTCTAAAGTGTACAATTCTATGATACATGATCTGTATATTTCATTGTGTGTCCACTACCCAAAGTCAAATATTTTTCTGTCACCATATATATATATTTGACCCCCTTTATCTTTTGCTACTCCTCCCACCCCCATCCCTCTGGTAACCAACATAATGTTGTCTGTGTCTATGAGTTCTTATTTGTTTATTTGTTGTTTTCTTTTTAATGTTGCACTTCTTTAAATCTAATGGCAGTTTTCCTTGGTATCTATGTCAAGTCAGAGAACTTTAAGTCCATTGTTTGGTCCAAAGCAAGGACCACAAAGAAATGTGTGATGCATTTCCAAGAGATGCAGGTTTTATTTCCCATTATTACTTGATATATAATGTTTCTATAATATTAGTTTTTTAGTGTCATCACTGAACTATGGTATCAATCAAGCAATATGTCATAGGAGGCCAAATATGTAATAATATAACTATAAAAAGAAAACAAAAATGATTTTGGGTGAGGAGTTTTTATCACTTATCTTCACAGATTTTACTTCTCAAAAGAAGGAAACCATGCCGCCCTGGCTTCTTCAGAATATTTTTTCTTGTCCCTCCCACTCCACTCCACCTCAGGTTCTTTATCAAGGGGTGTAAGAAAGTCCTCATGATCGTCACTGTTCTGCCTACATTGTTCCGCCCTTTTCTACAATTTCTGTATCTTCCCTGAAAGATTTTTATCAATGAGCTTGAATTATACAGTCCAATATTTCTCAAGTACTTTACCTATTAATTTGCCTGTGTGCTTTTTCCTGTTTTGTACCAACTTTATTACTTTGCCAAATATTCAAACAAATTGATTCCATATTTATTTAAGTTTTTAGAGCATGCTGGCATCTTTTTACTTCATTTTATTCTTCTATTTAAACTCAATTTTATTCTGGCATTGCTTATGGTGTAAGTAAGGCTGACATTATTATCCTTTGTTTAGTAGTGGAGAGACTAAAAGATAGAAAATTTAAATGATTTTGGAAAATATAACTTGTTATGATTTTACAACTAATACTAAACAATTAGGTATTATTAGAAACCATGTATGCTAACACTTAATCTTTTTCTTCTAGGTTATGTACAGAATTTATGCTTACTATAGACAATGGTTAGGTGATATAATCTATCTTTGTGAGGCCTTTTAATATTTAAATTTTCATTTTTGGAGTAATAGGACATTTGCTTTAATAATAGCATGGGGGGGGGCGGGGAGGTGGGGGTTAGATTTATTAGCTGGAGTTACCTGACAATAAACATCATGGAACTTTGAAAAAAAATTTAAGAAAATAAATGCTTTTTATAAAATAAAGATACTTCTTCCCAAAAGGGAACATAATTATGTTGGAAGTTAGTCCTCAAAACTGCTTCTAGAAATTACTAATTAGACTTTTTCTAGTCAGATGGTTATAATAGCAGTTTTTAAATATTTTTTAATGAAGACCAACCACATATAGGTGTAAATAATGTATATGCATAATGCCAATGGTTCATCTTAATAGAAAAGTGCATTCTAAAAAAGTGCTTTTTTCTTGGATATATATAGAATTATGAAACCTAGAGCTGGAAGTATTATGATAAGAAAAGAATAAAATTATGTTTAGAAGAAATATTTGGGAGTCAGGTAGACAAGGGTTTGCATTCCTGTAGTCAATTGTTAGTTTTTATTTAATAAACTTTGGTTAGTTTCAAAAAAAATGTACCTCAGTTTTCAAACAGTAGAATGAGGGACAGATGTAACTGTTTGGATTATTGTAAGAAGTTAGCACTTGATACATAGCTATTTTCAACGAATATTAGTTTTCTTCTTCCCTGTCTATTCCTCTGTTTTCTTACCCCAAAATCCCTAAAGGGAGTATTAGGTGGGATCTTCCTATTTTCCCACAATTTGTTTTGTATTATCCTCATTCTATCTCTCAGAGCAGGTACATGACCTGCCCTAGGTTATACTTCTAAAATGTGAGCTAAAATGTTTCATAAAACACAACTGAGAATGTGTACTAGTATATGGGTAAACTAGTAGTTGAGTGAGTGTGTGTGTGTGTTTTACTTCATAATATTTGCAATTTTTTGTTTCCATTGTAAGATCATTAAATCAAATAAAATATTCATTTTAGTTATTTCAATGGAGTAGGAAAAACTTTATTAACATACTTATAAAAATGTTATTTTTCATAACTAATTTATTAAAAATTAGGCATCATACATGATAAAACATTAGCTCTAATTCTTAAGTTTCTGTAAAGTAAATGAACTATATAGAAAGCTGTTTGGCTGAGAGGGGCTGGGTCAGTGATTCAAACACACGGTGTGCTGACATTCTTGGGGAAAAAGCAGAGTAAGCAAGACTGCGAAGAGAGAGGCTCTGCTGTGTAGCTGTGGAGAATGCCATCTTGAAAATCAGTTTGCCTCGGATTGAGTTACGGTTGCAAAACAAAACTACCATATGTGAAACTTTGAACAAATAATTTCCACTCTCTAACCCTTAATTTCTGAATCTAGAAAATAGATCTGATAGTATCCACTATACAGAGCTGATCTGAGAACTACATGTGTGAATACACATACAGAGCATAGTAAGCATTTTTAAAAAGTTTGTTGTTTCATTCCCTATTATATTAGTTTCAAAGGTTGACTGTATTATACAGACCACCAGGCAAATATCCTCTATAACATTCTACTTTGGTCCAATAAATGGAAAAATTAATTAATTCTGTAAATGTGCTTGTTCTCTGTGTTTTGGTTAGGAAATGTATTAGTTTTCTACTGCTATGAAACATCTTTAAAAGCTTAAAACAAGATACATTATTATCTCACAGTTTCCACAGGTCCGGAGAAAAGGCAGGGCTTAGCTCAGGGTCTCACAAGACTGCAATCAAAATATGGACTAGACCAGTGATGGTGAACCTATGACACGCATTTCAGAGGTGACACGCGAACTCATTTTTTTGGTTGATTTTTATTTGTTAAATGGCATTTAAATATATAAAATATATATCAAAAATATAAATCTTTGTTTTACTATTGCAAATATCAAAAAATTTCTATATGTGACACGGCACCAGAGTTAAGTTAGGGTTTTTCAAAATGCTGACACGCCGAGCTCAAAAGGTTCACCATCACTGCACTAGACTGCATTTTTGTTCGGAGAGCAGGGTCCTCCTCCAAATTCACTGGGTTTGGGCAGAATATAGTTCATTGTAATTGTAGGATTGCAAACCTCAGTTCCCAGAAGCTCCATGGTTCCCATCCAAGTGGCCCTCTTCCTATGCAGTTCATATCATAGCAACTTGCTTCTTTACCACCAGCCGAATGTTATGCTCTCTATGTTATGCTTGTTATGCTAGCAACATAGGGTCATGTATGTATGTAATGCATGTAGGTATGTAGGTATATATGTATATGCATGCATATAGAATGTGGATATGTGTATTAACATAATCATTGAAGTGACATCTCATAACATTTTTCATATTCTGTTGATTAGAAGCAAGTCATAGTCCTGCCCACAAAGAATGGGAGAGCGTGAGTATTGGGGCCACCCTAGAGTCTGTCTGCCACACCACTTTAAATTTCTTGATTTAAAATTCATATAACATATTATTTTAGAATTTAACATGATTTAATATTTGATTCAAAGGAATTTTGCCACAAATGGTAAAATTGTATTCCCAGTTAGGCTTTTAGTATAACTCCCAATAGGCCATTTTTCTCTTCCTAATATACAGCCCTTATTTCGAGCTGGCTTACCTCCAGACTAAAGACAACCTAACCTGATGCTTAATACTCTCCAGAACCAGACAAACCTAAATATCCAACCCCTTTTCCCCATTATTCTGATATGTACACCCTAGCTATATGTCTACATCTTTGCCAATGCACATCCTATTGTTTCTCTTTTTCCATCTCTTTGAAGCACATTTACATTTTTAGCACTTCCATTCCATTTTTCCTGTTTCTTTCCTCCTTTATACCTAACCTGGGATTTTAATGCATAGTCTCATATCTATATTATGTGTATCCTTTCAAATAATGGTATCTCAAGACATATTCACTAGATAAAAAAATACCTTCTTGATTTAGAACAGTGGTCAGTTTGAGAGTCATACTCAGTTTAAGAATCATATTTCTAAGGACGTTCTTCATAAATTATACACTCTTATATTGACTCAGTAATCTG